GGCTCACCATGGGCTCCGCGCGCCAGGCGCTGTCCGTGGTACCGGCTGTTCTGCTGGTTCTCGCGCTGCCTGGGCTGCCTGTCTGGGCACAGAATGACACGGAGCCGATCGTGCTGGAGGGCAAGTGTCTGGTGGTGTGCGACTCGAACCCAGCCACAGACTCCAAGGGATCATCTTCTTCCCCTTTGGGGATATCGGTCCGGGCAGCAAACTCCAAGGTGGCCTTTTCGGCGGTTCGGAGCACCAACCATGAGCCATCCGAGATGAGCAACAAGACACGCATCATTTACTTTGATCAGGTCAGACCCCCCGAGGGATGCAGGGCGCCCGGCGGGTGGGTGGTCTCTGAGTATCGGGAGCTTCCTGCCCAGATTAAGCTAGTATGATTAGGAGGTGGCAGCCACCTGCCTGGAGGTATCAGTCTGAAACTTGGGCTGCCGTTCTTCTCCAACAACCGCAGCTCCCATTCCCCCTTTGTGTCTAGCCGGAGGAGGCCTGCGCTGTGGGGTGGTTTGGGAGCGCTGAGGCAGGCACCTGGAGATCAAGACAAGTTTAGCAGCAACAGGTCAACCGGGGCTGAAGGGGATACTGTCCCTGGATGCTGAGATCGATTGGCTCAACTTACCAGCGGGTGCCCTGGAGGTGTTCCTGAGGGGGCCCTGGAAGACAGCCTGTAAATGTTTGAGTTGTGTTTCCAGGTGGAAGCTCATTTCGCCGAGGAACTCTGGGACTCCACAAGCTGCAGAGACCCGGCTAGGTGGATGCTGAGGGTTGGGGGGTGGGTTCTGGTGTCAGGGCTAGAAGCTAGGGTCACTATGCAGGGCCCAGGGTGGCTGGATCAACACTACCTTGCCTAGTATATACCACAAGCTCCTCTCGCCACTGCTTCACTCAGAAAAGTTGTCCACGCAGGAAGAAAGGGGGTTGAGTAATTGTGCATAGCTTGGGTAGGTAAGCAAGCGCAGAAGAGCCTGGTTCCTTCCTGGCCTTGGTTCTGTTCCTCCTGTGCATTGTAAGTTGCTGAGGAGGCACAGATTTTGAGGTTGCCACGAGGGAATGGGGCTGAACTGATGATAGTGGAAGCTTCTACTGAGCAGCCCAGTGCTTCCGGAACTGGAGGGATGAGCAACCTTAGGGTATCAGTTTAGCGAAGCCCCTTGTGACAAGCCTAACTCCAGCATTTTGTGTCCAACCCCAACAGTACCCGGAGACTGTCGAATTCCAAAGTCACAGTTCACAGTTCTATGAGCCCCTTGGACAGGTTAAGTGGGGCTGCGGAATGTGTTGGAAAAAGACTCGGGTGACATTTGTGCTCCTTGCTTAATTATAAGTGATACACTTGCCAGCTGGTCACGGACAGAGATGTCTCCCTAGAGGCTTAGTATGGGATAGCTATAAATTTTTAAAAATGAATTAAGTAGTCCCTTTGGAGGTTTTGGTGCAGTGTTTAACAAAGTGATGGAACCCAAGCCTACCCCCCCACCCCCGTTGCTGTTTCAGTGCATTATCTAAATGTTGGAACCCAGTGGACATTGTGCTATCTTTGTTTGGGGCATTCTTTTCAATGACCTTCCCATCAACTAGAAGAGGAAAGGGATTTTTCTTTTGTTCGGGGAGCCATGCATCTTAGAGACCACAAGAAACATTTAGTTACCAATGTGGATGTGCTTGGATAATTCGGTTACTCCATGGAGTCCACACCCAGCTTCATGTTTACTAACCAATACTAATCAGGCACCGCTACTCTGTTAGTGAAGGATGCCTCTTGTCCCTGAATCAGGAAGTCTTAGATAAGCAACTTGCATTATGTTTAAATGTGCTGGGAAAAGATGTTTTGTCTACATTTTGTTGGAGAATTTTACGCAGCTGGTGATGGTGCTGTAGGAAGCCTGTCTGATCTCAGGTCAGAGAACAGAGAGCTGATGCTCACGGGAAAGAGGCTAGGATCTCAGACAAATCACATACATATTTGTATTTCCAGCAGGGCTGAGCCTTGTGCATTTACCTAAATGTTCTGGCTTCTGGTGTGCTGTGTAGAGGAGGTAGTGCACTTTGAGGAAATGATTCGGGAAGCGTGAGTGTATTAATTTCCACAAGAAGATGATGTTTCAAACAGATATCAACAGACTGATTCTGATAAACAGAAATACATCTTAAGAGACACATCTGACTTGTATGGATTTATTCCTTGGTGAGACATGAGAGAAAGCCTCCTTGATTTGTTCTGGCTCTTACACTCTCTCAGGAAGGGACTTACCTCTGAGAAACTGAAATATAACTGAGGACTCACTGAAAGTCAGAGTTAGTGTCATAACCAGGCCACCATCTGGGAATACAAGGTGTGCTATGGTTTTCTTACAAACAGTGCTTAACTTCACTTTTCACTTTTAACCCTTGAACTTCAAATGGATCTTAGGTGACTGATGGGATCAAACAAGACACTGAAGAACACAGAAAGGCACTTAGTTGACTGCCTGGTGCATCCATGCCCTTCTCTTGGCATCCAGCCAGGGCTGACTCATCACCAATGTATTATGTTAAGGCTTACATGGTACATAAACAAAACAAATGGCCACCCATCTGGGGAGAGCCCCAGCAGAGGCTTGGGGAAGAACCTGGCTTTCCCATCTCTGTGGTACCAACTGTTGGTGTCATGGATTACACCCCATGGTGGAAGGGGTCTGTCTCTGTGAGGTGTTCAGAGATTGCTGCAGAGAGCCTATGGATGTCGATTGGCTGGCTGGGTAACATCACTTCTGGACATTGGGAAGGTTTATAGACTGTGGGGATGTAACTGTGCAGATGCCTTCTGTCTGGTTCTCTATGTAAAGCCAGTACAAACTGTCATGCGTTGCTTTGATGACCCTAGAGATAGCCGGCCTAGAAACTGAGGCATGATTGCAACACAGTTGTTTTATTTTCATTTTTGCCTGTACTATTTAAAAGGTGGAAAAACCTTTCATTAGACACATCTGTTTTCCAAGTCACTTATGAGGGAAGAAATAGGATTAGCTGTTTTGTTCTCCATTGTTTCTGAAGTTAGTTATTGAAAAAAAGAAGAAGGGGGGGGAGAGAAGAAAAGAGGGAAGGAAGACACAAAGGAAAGAAAGAAGGAAGGAGGGGGAGAAAGCGAGGAAGAAGGAATTTATTTTATTTAGTTGAAAATTATAGTAATTTACCATTATTTATTGTTTTTATCTGTAGATCCTGGTTAATGTGGGCAATTTTTTCACATTGGAGTCTGTCTTTGTGGCACCAAGGAAAGGAATCTATAGTTTTAGTTTCCACGTAATTAAAGTCTACCAGAGCCAGACAATCCAGGTATGTGCTTTGACCTATGTGCTCTCTGCTCCTGCATTTAAGTATCCATTCAAGGACATGCTTGCATTGTAAAGACAGTTGTCTACCTTTTCCATTTATTTTAAAAAACATTTAGCTTGCATGTTTTCCCTTATAACATCCATTTGGGTATGTAGCAAAGGCACATGGAAAAATAAGCAACTGAGTTTATTACACTGTAGAGAGAGACCCTGATTACAGGTATGTAGCAGGGTGTATAAGAGCCAGGGGGAGGCAGCACATGGTCTCTCTCTAGGCTGAGCCAGCATTGGGAAGCATTCTGGGTCCGACCTGCTTGGGTGCCAACCTGGTCACTGGTTCCCTTGTGTGAGTATATCTCCTAATAAATTACCGGTTATTAACCTATCTCTGATTCTATTTGTAGTCATCAATAACTGGTATCAGGACTGGAAGTTTCACCCCCACACCCCCTGGCCTTCCACCCCCCAACAGAGTCCTCCTCAGGCCACCCACCTGGACTCCTTTGCCTGGAATCCCATTACAACAGCATTACCCTGATTATAGCTTGTTGTAAACCAAACCAAACCAAAACAAACCAAAACAAACCAAAAACAAAAACAAAAACCAAACCCCACCCCAAAACCAAAAAGCAAACAACAACAAAAAACAAAGCAAAACAACAAGAAGAAGAAAAACACAGCTTGGCAAAACCTTTGACACAAATCTCTACAGAAGATCTCCATTTTTATCTCATGCCCGAATAAAAGTTATTTGAACTTATAAGGAAAAATTATAAAATGTTACAGGTGGAAGTTAAATAGACAAAACCAGCTTGCTATCACTTAAAAAGAATGAAATGCAATAAACTGTTGAAACAGCAAAAACAAAACACAGGTTGGCAAAAGCTTCATGACACAAATCTCTACAGAGGATCTTGATTCTACCTCATTCCTGAACTAAAGTTACTCAAACTTATAAGGAAAAGAAATCTTACAAAGCATTGCAAATAGACATTAAATAAGCAAAACAAGTTTACTGTCATTTAAAAATTATGAGAAGGTGACTAGTGGCTGAAACCAAGCTTCTCAGGAACGGCTACCGATGACACCTTTGAGAAAGGATGCATCATGCCATAGTTTATTTTTGTGCTTCTGTCCCAGGAACGTCTTTCCAGTTGCGGCTAAATGGTTAGCGATGAGTCCTGTGTTGTGCTTGCTCAGACAATCTTGGTCTTACTAGAGCAGACATAGAGGTATCTGTTGTAGTATTAAAATATATCAATAATAAACAATATGGTACCTGTCTATGGAATTCTAAAAGATGTCGTATTGAATGTTTAGCACTTACATTACATTTTTACCTCTCTGAAATGAGAATGGATGGCACCATCATCTGCCACTCTTTTTAATATCCTAGTGACTGGCCAGCCTTAGACTGAATCTGTTCCATATTAATTTTAACCTAGAGAAAGGGAGTGTGTAAAGATGACATCTGCTTCCCTGGAAACCCTGACATTTCAAATGACTTTTGTTCCTGCCTGGATTTCAGAAAAGAAGACACCTAGTCAGATGCTGGCAGACTCTGGCTGTATCTGACTTTGTTAGGTCCCAACATTGGGAAGCCACCTGTCCTCCTAATTACCAAAAGGTTGATGCCGAGTACAGGAGGCCAGTAGGGTGGTTAGTCTCCTTTACATGCTGAAGGAAAGCTAGTTTTCACATGACTCTCTGGATGGCATTATTTTCGTAGGTGTTTAAGGAAATTTCTATAGGAGCACACACACATTAAATATACACAGAACACACACACACACACACACACACAGGCACACACACAGGCACACACACACACACACACACACACACACACACCAACACACACACACATTAAATCTGACCCCACACAGTTTGCAGGGAAAGGAGAGTGTTTCCTGAATAACCAGTGTTTGGCCAGGTCAGCTGTCCGTTTCCCATACCAACATATTACGTAGTTGGATAAACAGGTTTAATTACAAATTTAGGGTCAGCTGTCTTACACTATTTCTTAGCACAGGTTTTGATTTTTAAAGGGAACTTTTCAGTGGTCATCTTTTTCCTTCCAGGTTAACTTGATGTTAAATGGAAAACCAGTCATATCTGCCTTTGCCGGGGACAAAGATGTGACCCGAGAAGCTGCCACTAACGGAGTGCTACTCTACCTGGATAAAGAAGATAAGGTTTACCTAAAACTGGAGAAAGGTAACTTGCTTGGCGGCTGGCAGTATTCCACGTTTTCTGGCTTTCTGGTGTTTCCTCTATAGAACTTGACTTCTCCGTGACGCCCGTGAGTGAGGGTGCCCACCCCTTGTTATCAGAAGACCACTTTTCACCCTTGGATTGATGTCTCTTATTGTTTTGCTCATGAGTGACTATGGATCCTCTTGAAGGATTCTAGACCTGTCTGGACAAACACAAAGTGTCACAGATTATTTTCTTGTGTGTGTGCCAGTTTCCTTATGTGTGAACCAGGACTCCAAAGCTGGAAATCCCTAAATCTGCTTACTTGTTAATGGTCCGAAGCTGTCTCAAGGTTCCTTCTATTTAGTTTCCTGCGCTTACTGCACTGGGGTTTTCATTTCTTTGTTTTTGAAAGACCGGCACATGGGTCTGAAAGTTAGAAAACTCAGAAGTTCTGACTTCGGTGGTTATCGTGGGACTGCCAAAGACTCGTATATTGTGTGGATACATTGATTACACTTGTTTTCTTTTCCTTTGTTTTTAATTGTAATCACTTCGGAATTGGTTTGTTTTGTTCTCCTAAGGTACTTGGGATTGTATTCTAGTGACTGGCATTGTGTTTTCTCTATCCACAAGGTAACAAATGGCTTGCCTCAAAATGTCCCTTAACTCTGAGCTCACCCCCATGACCTCCCCCCTGCCCCCTGAAATGAATGCTCCATAGTTGTATTTTAATTATATATGTGAAAGAGTCATATTTTCCAAATTATATTTTCTAATAGGAAAAATATCATAATCTGACGAAGAAAAGGTTATTTACCCCAATTCTAAGTGCTCAGTCCCTAAATGTTGGCAAAATAGCTCTCCTTGGTGGAAAAGCTTACACTTTCTTGTTCAACTTTAATTAATGTGATTGATAATAACCACTTTATTAGAACCAGAGGGGATTATTTCCCCCTTCAACATGACCACTTTATTAACTGGAGATGGTATGCCCTTGTTTTTAATTACATCTATTTTTCAAATCTCCTGTTGTGTTTGAAATATCATCTGGTTTTGCCTTAATTCCTTAACTTGTATATATATATATATATATTTATCTGTTCAGCTAATATTAAATCCAGATACTCCATAAGGAAATTTAGTGCAATATCTTATTTTGTCCTTTTGCATAGGTCATATGAATTCATAAAATTATTTATGTCTCTGTTGCAGAATAAAGATTATTATATGTTAGTGGGATGGTTGGTTTGTTCCTTTTGGTTCTGAGAATGTGTCTTCTATGTAGTTTGTCGTCTCCTCCCTTCCCATGTCCTTCCTCTGCTCCCCGCCTCCTTCCTTCTTCTCTGCCCTCCCTTCTTTAAGTTTCTTCCTTGAGCTTAAAAAAAAAAAAAAAAAAAAAACCTTCCTGATTTTCAGGTAATGTTCTTTGAGTTGGTATAGGAAATCTTTACTGTATTTAATCTGTCCAAATCCAGGAGTTGCAAGCTTGCCAAAAGCGAATCAATGAATTTAGCAAACTCTTCCTTCATAAAGACTTGTGAGGAAAATGACGTTAAAAAGATCTCTTGAAATATCACAAGGTTGCGCCATGTATGAGTGAGCGGTGGCCGGTATCAAGGCTGGTATCTCTAAACTGGGGGCTTTGGCAAAGATTACACCCCACCCATACCATTCCTCGTTGAAGGGGGGATAATATTCCTATGACTCTGGGGGGTATGGTGGCTGCATTTCCAGGTCTGTGGCCCTGCTGGTGACAAGAGTCCTCTGGTAGACAGCTGGAACCAGAGGAATATGTTACAACTTCCAGAGTCTGTGATTAATCTCCAAGCTAGGATGTTCAGTCAGCTCTAGGAAGACACCTTTCTTTTCCTAGAAAAACACTTTGAAGACACTGGCAACAATCCTTGATGCAGGTTGTCCCCTGCTGGCTTTCAGTTAATAGCCCTGATTTTATAATTTGAAAACAAAACAAAACAAAACAAAACAAAACAAAACAAAACAATGTTGCATAGAGAGAGACAACAAAGGTGGCTTTAGTCCTCAGGCCAGTGGAAGTGTCTAACTAGGTACGAACTCTGCCTAGCAGATACTACCACCCCCATCTATGTGTACTGTGTCTGCGTCCAAACATCACAGCAGGAGAATTACAAGTATAGATCTGTTAGTCATTATTTTGGCAACATGAGTCAAGAGTGTTGAAATGACCAACTGATACCTATGGCGTAATGGAGAAAGTTAGGCTGTCATCAGAACAGGTCAGCATATCAGTGCAGTTCGCAAATTGACTTGCGGCCATCTTTGAGGGCTTGTCCTTATCTTTCTTGATTCTTCTGACTGTGAAGAAACATTGGTGAAGCTCTGAGCTTCAACTCCCAAGTTCTAGCATATGTATCTCGGGGTGCAGAATCTGTTGTGTATTGGGCAAGATCTATCAGATGTAGAGGTCTGTGATGCTGGAGCCCAAGTGACGAGAGCAAGCCAGGATGAGAGCCATGGAGGCTCAACTCAGCTAGGTTTTAGGAGGCTGAAAGCTACCACAAACATGTCAGAATGTAAAAATGGCACGAGAGAGCCTAAGCAAGAGGTGGGAGGACTTGGTCCACAAAGCACTGGCTTGGGTTAGATGCAGGATGTAGTCCTGTGACCTCCACTTGCTCTCTCTGTTGCTTTGGCAGGTTCTTTTGCCTTTCTGAGCTTGAGTTACGTTATTTGCAAAGAGGAAGTAGTGGGCTTCAGTCAGTTGTGAGAATGCAGCAAGACCCAGGAAGTGCTTGGGGCACAGAGGGAGCTGGAATCTCTAGTCTGACCAGGGACTCTTGTGAACCCAAATATTTAAGGGCTTCAGGTGGGCAGAACAACAACGAAACCATGGAGAGTATAAGATCTTCAGTAGGAAGAGGGAATGTGGGGGTGTAAAGACTGGCACAAGGAAGAGGGAACGCTAAGGTGGGATGGAGGAGAGCAGAAGTGTTGTCACACACACTTCCACGATTGGCACCAGGGGCTCTCTGCATGGTCTATAACTTGGAAAATTATTTTCAAAAATTGATGTGTGAAAAAAATGCACACTAACAGAGCCCTGTGTTTGCCTTGGCTCCTCAACTGGCAGTGTGAGCCATCCTCCCTCCTAGACCCTTCCTATCCCCTGTTCCCTGAGCAAATGCAAGCGATTGTTTGCAGCCTGCAGTTTCCTCCTGAAAGAATCTAAGGAAACTAAGCTGAAGGCACAAGCAGCCCAGCAAGGAATATGCCGATCTAATTACATTTAATTTTAAAAAATTATTATTATTATTATTATTATTATTATTATTATCAGCTTAAGTTTGTTCTCCTCATTTGATTTTTAGTGATACTTTCTTGTATTCTTTTAGCCCCTAGCCTCTACTTTTAGAAAATTATTGCTTTAAGTTGTGTGTGTGCATGCTTGTCATGTGTGTACACCTGTGTGTGCATGCTTATCACATGTGTTCACCTGTATATGCATGTTTATATGTGTCTTCACCTGTATGTGCACGTTTATTGTATGTGTTCATCTGTGTGTGCATGTCTGTCATGTGTGTACACCTGTATGTACATGTTTGTCAATGTGTTCACCTCTATGTGCATGTCTGTTGTGTGTGTACACATGCCTGTTGTGTGTATACACATGTGTGCATGTTTGTGGGAGCCAGAGGTCAGCATCGGGTGTCTTCTTTGGTCATTATGACCTTATCTATGACTCAGAGTGTCTCACTGAAACCCGAGCTTACCAGTTGGCTAGCCTAGCTGTCCATCAAGCCTCACTGAACTTCCCTGTTCCACTTTCCTGGCACTGGGGTTATAGATGCATGCCACTGCACCTGGTTTTTTACCTGGGGCCTGGAGATCTGGACTCAGGCCCTCATGCTTGTGTGGTATGCACTTTACCTACTGAGCCATCTTCCCAGCCCCCACTTTAGGATTTGAAACAATCATTGTCAGCCAACATGGATGAAGTTATCCTCATAATGGATTGTGGGCTGCAAGATCCCGAGGCTGTGGCATGAGTGGCACCCTTTTTCCTGCTTTTCTGTTTGCCCTAAGCACCAACAAACCTTTATTTGTCACCTGAAGCCATGGTAATCTGTAGATGTGGTCCTACCATGCATCCCACTGAAAGCCCTAGGCTTTACTGACCTCCTATACTGTATAAAATCATCTACCTGTCTCTTGAGCAGCAGTATCCATTGGGCTCAGCCAAGGCTCACATATCAGTTGACCTGGTGGCTACCTGTTGAGAACAGAGAGGTATGCCATTGGTCCTCACACAAAGCCTTGGCTCAATTATGGTCCTTGGTGGCTCTTCAGTAGAGAAGGAGAGGGGGAGGATTGAAGATGTTGGCATCTAGCTAGGTGGGTTTTATTCTCTTCCTAATATAAGCCATCTTTTAGTGTGGCTTTTGAGATTCAAATCACCTGTGTGCAGGGCTTCTAGAATGTGGTGGTGCTTGAAACTCTTCACATGTGGCTGGAGAGCTGGGTCAGTAGTTAAGAGCATTTGCTGCTCTTCTAGCAGACCCAGGTTCAGTTCCCAGCACCATCTTTCTGGTAACTACAGTACCAGGGGATCTGACGCCCTCTTCTGACCTCCGAGTGCACTGCATGCCCATGGTACCCAAATGTATATGCAGACAGCCATGCACATAAAATAAAATGAATACATCTAAAAAGAAAAAGAAAAACAACACAAACCTCTTGACAAGAGCAGAAACCCTTGTTAAAATGCAGATTGTAGCTGGGTAGGTCTGCTGGGAGTCTTGGCCCCACCACCAGGGTTTCAGGCGAGCCCCAGAGGCTGCAGGTGCTATAGTAGGTAGAATGTAGTCTGAGTGACTAGGCTGTAGAACTGATGGTGGGAGTCTGCTCTTCTGTAGCACCCAAGCCAGCGGCAGCAGCCGAGGATGCAGGGGTAGCTGTCACAGGTGTGTAAGCACAAGCCCCTCCCACATTACTCCATCAAAGTCAACATCTGACCCAGGTCCTCAGGTGATTCTTACATGTGTTGGCTTGAAAAGCTGATGAAAGAGTTTAAGATCAAGGTCACAAGGCTGTTACTACCTCT